TCTGCCCGGCCCGGCAGCAGAACGCGGCAGCACTGACCCGGTGTGCGGCTGTGAGCCCGGGACAGTGCAGGAGCTCACACCACGGGGGACGAGCTGGCCTCCTGGGCAAGCCAGTACCTGGCGACTAGCACGTGGCACCAGTGCTCTGCTCCCAGCCCAGCTTCTATAAAGAAGCCTCTGATTTGGCAGTAATTCGATCATCTCCTTCGGCGAGAGTAGAAGGACTTTCTTATCCTTAATCCAACCTCTGAAAAAGTACAAGTAGGGTAATGGGGTTTTTTAACTTCTTAAAAATAAAAGGTTTGTCCAGGCATGTTGATTCTTCTTAATTTCCCTAATGAAATATGACCTGCACAGCATCAGTTAATAAAAACAGCTAATGTCCAAAACAAACCCCATGAAATCAATTACAGATGATATCTTCAGCTTCTATTTACCTACTTTTTACAAAAACTTCCTTTAACCTGCGAGTGCTTCCTAAGCATGCACAAAAGTCCCATCATGACAATGCTGCCAAGGTCACACTGTGACTGGACATTCACCTTCCCGTTAAACTAAAGATTGAAAAAGGTGTAATTCTAATACCACAAACAGCTTAAAAGAATGCCATAACATTTTAAAAGGCACCAAACTTTGTTTGGACACTCAAAAAAGGCACCAGACATAATTTGTTTAGTTATATTATCCTTTATTATTTTACAATATATTTCAAAAACTTTTACAGAAGCCTTAAACTGTTCTACAGGAGCTGCAATACTGTCATAAAAGCACACCTATGGACTGAATGCACAGAAACTGCAACACTGCCTGGTAGGGAAGCACTGACAGCCCGTCAGGGTGCGCAGCGATGGGAACGGACGTGCACGCAGCAACAGGAGCTCTGCATTCAGGGCTCTAGAACAGAGGGCTTCTCACACACGCTGGCTACTGTAACATCCTAGACAGCAATATGAGGCGTAGTACATATTTAAAGCAATACATGCCTTGAAAAGCCTGTATTTTCAATCTGTGCGTGTAAACCTGAACCAAAAACAGACCAGATAAATTAAAAAACACGAGACACCTCATCTGCCAAAAAGCTTTTCTTTTTTCTCCTACAATGACAACTTGGGTGGATGAACTCTGACCTGCATTATTATTTTACATTCTCATACTACTATAACAGCATTATTTTTTTTTTTATTTTATGCCTTGTGCATGGGCACAGAAGAAAACTTTGAGGCGTTAAATGACGTTTTCCTGACTCTCCAAGTGGTGAACAGAGCTGGTGTTGTGGCGGATCCACCGCCGCAGAGGCTGGTACCACAGCTCTCAGCTGCACTGCTCTGATTGTTTGCAGATGTTTTTAAGCCTATCCAAGCTGATGGACCTTCATGGAGTCTCGTGAAAGACATTAGGAGGGAACAGTAAATACGTATCGGATTTGTTAGGTTAAAAAAAGGGTTAAAGCCAAAACTTATGAGTGTGGCACTGTGGCAAAAGAGGCATTCAGTTCTGCTTTACTCTTCAAGTTTCAGTTTCCATTAAATATTTGCTAACAGCCAAGAATTTCTTACACAAAATCCAGTCTACACCCCTCTGACCTCTGCAGACAGAGCTGCAATGGGTCATCGCCACATCAGACCTCAGCTTGTTTTGCAACAGTCTTCCCAGCTGACCTGAACAGCAGCCAGGGCTATTTATTAGCTATATCTAAACATATCAGTCAGTCACAGCCATCATTACAAACGCAACCTAGTTTATTTACTGTACAATGTATGTATACACATTTGCATTTATTCAATCCCTTATTTCTTAATCTCATAGCGTTCCAGTGGTTAAGGGCAGGCTGGAAAAAACCTCAATATACATAAAAGGGTTACAAATTTCAAGTGTGTAGTGAATCTAGTTTAATAGCAAGAGGGGAACATCATGCTCGCACTCTGAACAGGGTTGGCAAAAATAAAGGCAAAAAAAGGGGCAGACCGTATTTTCCTCTGGAGTCAAAAATCTAGAAAATTAAACAAAATAACGTTAGTCCAAAGGGATGCAGAAATAAAAAGGGCATTTTATCTAATGCACAGCTAGAGCTATTAAGAATTTTCTCTCACAGAGGCCCTGAGACTTGAGTGGATTCTCCCTATTGTGTTTCACGTGAAGTCAAACCTAAAGCTCTACACGCATAAACATTTGGTATGCAAGAGTGGACCCATCTTTAAAAAGTGAAGCAATAAAATCTACATGGAAAACAAATGAAAGAACAATTTGAGTGGAGGCCTCTGTCCTTTGACCCCTGCCCTATCAGGCTGAACGTCCAATAAAATGTAAAATGCAGCATACATTTGCTTCATCTAAAATTTCTGTGATGATTTATTGCAAATTGCACTTGTCAGTTCACCACACCAATGGAAAACTGGCCCCCCTGTTGGTTCATTCACACAGTCTCTGAACACCAAACCCAAGTCACCAGTAGAAAGACCTCGACAGAAAGTTTGCTGCTGTGCTGAGCCAACTTGCTGCACCCTCTGGGTGCGACCCCACACGAGACACTGCTTTGTCCTGCTCCTTAGTAGGGCTTTCATCTTCTGGGAGGTACTCGGGGAGATCTGTGTTCTGCTCTACTTCTACTGGAGTATCTTGGAACGGAACCAGCATCTGATAAAACACAACAGGTTAAAACTATGGCACATTTTGTAACTGAAATGAAAGAATGAGAATTATGCAAGTTGTGAGGCTCCTCCCCTTCCCCCCATACTGCAAGAATATAAACGGAACCTACTATATATCTGGAATCTACTATGCTTAGAAGATACACAAGAAAAGCTCTGGCTTAAAATAGAAGGAAAAATATCAAATACAGAGACATAGCCCACAGCTGTGAAATAAAAACACTTCAGCAACTGCAACCAAAAAGAAAAGGTTCACTGGAATCCTTTTCATATCACTAAGGAGAGAAACAGTCACAGTGTTTTTGTCCTGAACAGTTAGTTCTGGTTAGATGCTGAGGGGATGGGAACATCTCTGTGCTGAGAAAAGGCTGAGACTTGGGGCTGTTCAGCCTGGAGAAGACTGAAAGGGGATATGATCACCAAGAACTAAAGGGCCCACAGGGGCAAGAAGATGGTGCCAGGCTCTTGTCAGTGGTGCCCAGTGACAGGTCCAGAGGCAACAAGCACAAACTGGAACCCAGGAGATTTTTGCTGTGAGGGTGCCTGAGCCCAGAGAGGTTTTGGAGTCTCCTTCTCTGGAGAGATTCCAAACCCACCTGGATGCCATCCTGTGCACCCTGCTGTGGGTAACCCTGCTGGAGCAGGGGGATGGGATGAGATGATCCCCAAAGGTCCCTTCCAACATCCACCATGCTGGGACTCTGTAAAACTGTTCTATGGATATGTGTCCTGACACAGGATCTTCTTTACTCTCCCTGTCCTGTGTATGCAGCCCTCCAACTTACAAAATTCTGCCTGGCATCAGATGTTATGGGCACAGCAGTGCTAGTATTAAAGACACAGCCAAGCTACATCAAGTGGTATTTAGAAAGATTCATATCCTACCTCCTCACCACTTTCACTTTTCACCACTTGCTGTGCCTTCATAACTTTGGTTGATGCTATTGCCGTTGCCAACGCCTACAAGTACATGGAAAAAACCAAGAATTTAGTCTGACAGAATGCAGTAACATGAGCACCACTAGGGTTCTGGAGCACTTACCTCTGCTTTTAAGTCTGAGCGAATTCGGACCACGCACCTCTGAACTGCCATTTGAAATGTAAAACTAATAACACCTTTAATTTTCAACAAGGCTTCTTCACAAAGATTCCGTCGAGACTGCAAAACAAACAAAAAGCCCCCAACTGAGGTACTTCCATAACACACCACGTGAAAATGCTCACAATTAATTGTTGAGGAATTCCTCAATATCTGAGGGCAGATGGTTACTCAATCATGGTTTTATAAAAAAAAGAATCACGACTTACATTTTAGTGCACAAGTACTAGACTCTCTTGCCACACACAAAAAAAAATTGCTTACACTCTAGAAGTCAAAGAAGGATGGAATCAACTGTAAATAATTAGAGAAAAATGCTGAAAAGCAAAGAATGTTTTTCTCCGTGTGATCAGCTAAACAGTCCCCTCTGGTTAAGTTCTGATTGACTGAAGTGCTCATTGATGAGTAGTTAGTGTTTAAGTTGCTATTTATCAGACACCTTGCCTCCATACTGACTGAACGCATCAGAGCAGCTGCTCCGTCGCTGCGCGGCTGCATCCCTGGCAGCTCGCAGGCATTGCTGCACAGCATAAGCTGAATTCTGACTTCCAAGGGAAAATATTTGGTTGGTAAGGCACAGAATGTTATGTTTAAAGCAAGCGACATCGCCCACTGTGCTGTAACATTACATTGACCTGTACTAGCTGCATCTGTTCTACGTTATCTTAGAACGTGCTAATTTTTTTCCTTTTAATATTTGCGCAAGATGGTCGTAACAAAAAGGATTAAAATCCACTTGGAGAGGCTGCCAGCACAGAAGATGAAAAAAAAAAAAGATGCACTGTACCAGAAATAAACTGACAGTCTTACACAGGTTCAAAATAATGATGGGTTTAACTTTTACTGCAAGTTTCTGCAAGGTTTTAAATAATAAGTTATTTCAAAGCATATTTGTATTAGCTCTCAAATAATCACTGCTCAGTATTTGGGATAGTTTCATGCACAAATTAAATTCTTTTAATCTTTGGAAGAACTATCCCAAGTGGGTTGGGCTTTTTTTTAGCAGTTTAACAGATAAATTGAAATAATTTGTGGAAGAGTATGTACTGAAACAATGGATGTATTTTGAGATTTAAACCAGTAACTTTGCCGGACAGGACAGATCTGATACAAAGATGACAGGCTGCCTTGCCTGAGCCAAAGGTGAAACTACTTTTGGACACAAAAGCAACACACTGATAACTTATCAACCTGAAGAAATAATTTATGCTTCCATGGGTGTATACAATTCTGTGACAGAATCTGGCTTTTCACTGCAAGACGCCAGGGTAAAATCACAGGCATCACAGTTTAACTGGAAATGAGGCTTTTGCCAACCAGGCAACTGGTGAATCCCTTCTTAAAGGCAACATTTACCCAAGTCTGCACAGGCTCCTTACAAACCTGGAAGCTTTGCAGCCACCAGCCTCGCTGCACAAATATCTTTTGCAAAGCATATTAACTAGGGCAGTTGGGCACAACCCCCCCAAAACACACAGCTAGGCACCTTTCTGCAAGGAACTCCTCAAGCACAGGCAGAGGGCAGGACAGGTGAAACTCAGGTTATTTCTGGCACACCAAACCCTGGTTACTATACCTAAACAAACGCTGCTAAAAGGTACAGACTGGAAAAAATTTACTGCAGGGGCTGACACAGACTCCTGAAGTACAGCTTTGCTTTTTCCCTTTGTTTTAAGCTTGTCATCTGATTTGATAATTAGAACAAAATAAAAACTTTCAATCCCAGACTAAAAAACAAATGACCTTTCCCCTGCCTTCCTGAAAGAATCGATATCTACTATTTGAGTATGCAAAATCCACAAGCATTCCAAAGATTCAAGGTCATTCCTGCAGTTTTGCTCTTTGGAGCCAAGTATCTGAATACCCTTTGGTTTTTCAGAACACCTTTGCCTTGACTTTTAAAAGAGAAACTCCACAAATCTCACTAGGTTTCATTGGTTGAAGAACACAAGCACTTTTAAGCCAGAATCAGACTATAGCCAGAACATCTAAAGCCACACAGTAGAACTGGATGGAATTTCTTGCTTGGAGATAACCTGTAAACAAACAAATCAACTACAAGCTTAAAACCAAAACAAACTTAACGGGAGAACAACTGCTTAAAAAAATGCAAAGTACAAAGGCCAATGGTGTTGACAAAGCACCACCTTTCTGACAGAGCAAGTGCTGGAAGGACAAAACTGTAGAAAATATTTTCTTTGTACAAAGTGAGCTAGAGCAGCATGTTATTTCTAAAGGAATTAACCACGGTCTTCTGAAAACAGTACAACGGGTTTGCTGTGATAAACTGGGCCTGTGGACACGCTTACTTGGCAAAATGTAAAGCAACAAAGCAAAGGATCAGGTTTGATCATTTAAAATGGGTACAAAACTGAAGATACAGAGTCTGGAGGGCACTTGTGGATAACGTGCTTAAACAGCCTACATGCTGTTTGGCAGCCGTAAAAAGGCAAACATGGCCCTGGGGTGTTATCTACAGGGGTATGGTAGATAAATCCATAGAAGTTATTCTGACATTACATAAAGACTCAGTGAGACCTCATTAACTCAAATGCCATTCTGGTCACTACAGTAGAAAAGATCTCACAGACAATGAAAAGATGTAGCAAAACCAGCTCAAAGAAAAGAGGGCATTTATAAACAAAGTAATAAACTACAACAGTGTCTGAAATCTCTCGTAACTAAAAAGAAACTTTTATTTTAACACAGCAACACAACCACAAGATATCCTCAAGTGAAACTGCTGAAGGTACCTTGTTTATTCCATTCTTTCTTGGAAAAGGAAAGAAAATTATAAGAGGTGGAAAGAGTATTTTTTTTTAGAGTTATTAGAAAGCCAGCAAGGCAACTGCCTTAAAACATCATCTTTAGAAATGCTGAGTAAGCTCAACTTATATGAGACTTTATACACACCTTGGGATTCAAAATACAGTTCACAGAAATCACTGACAACTGGCAACGCCACGCAAGCAGCCCGAATACCTTATTTTTGTGGGCAAAACACGGGCCAGAACAGCACCATGTCCTAGTGGAGGAAGGCTGAAGGTTTCCTTACCGAATCATCCAGGCCATCTATGTGCAAAACCACTGTCTTGGCACGTTTGTTGGTGCTGCCGAGGAAGAACTGCGCTTTCCGCCGCCGATAGTTCATCTCGCTCACGCTGTCCGTGTCTGACGTGCTGGAAGACTGAAGGATATCATAGACTTCAGACGCTAGAAGTTTAGTCTCTCCTGGTGTAGTGGTCCTTACAGAAAAAAAGGGATTAAGGTTTGTAAATATTTGGTTTTACATTAGTACTCTCAACAGCTACTACGGCCCTGCAACTGGAGTACACCATGTGCTACAGCAACACAATTATCCAGTCCATTTTAAAAGGGGAGAGCAGAAATGAAGTAAAATATTTCCTTTCCCATGCTCCAATTGTTACGTCAATCTGTTAATTCTAGTACCATTACAAACAAGTCTGTTCTCAAGCAACACAGTTTACAGCAGTTTGGCAACTACAGACAAAACATGGTAGTAGATGCTCAGTATACCAGTTACTTTCTTCTTGTTGAGCTTTTTTTAACCAAAAGATCTCCAAGTGCCTTGTGATACGTTTCATTTTCCACTTGCCTTGTAACATAGTTAAAATAATTTCTCTATAGGAACGTGGTTTTGACAAATGCTTTCTTCTCCAAAGTCAGTGTCATCAGCAAAGCACAAACACGGGTTTTCTTAAAGAATCCAGAGGTTATTTCCAATCAGAAATTATGACCTATACGATAGCAATTTTTTAGCTAAAAAATAGATACTAGACTGAACATATATTAATATCTTCAGATTAATTAAAACTAGTTTTAATAAGGTACTAATATAAATCTGTTGTGCAAATCCAGCCCTGCTTTAATTATGCCAGTGATTTAAAGCTACACGCAGGAACAAATTTATTACTGCATCAACTTGCAATTAATCTTAAAATGATGAATGACAGCGTTGCTGCTTTGTTTAGCAAACAACAAAAGTAACAAGTACCTTTAGATTTTTTTTTTCCATTTGACTTCCTTAATTACCATACATTAAGCACGTTTTCCATCCTACCATATGGCAAACACCACCAAAGCGAGCACATTAGCTCTCAACTTGTGAGTGTCCTAACCAGCCTTTGGGGTTTTTTTAATTCTCTGCACCTTGTTTTGATTATTTTTTGGAGAGGAAAACATGAGTTCTTGTCATCATTCAGTACATTGATAGCATGCAGGAATTAAAAAGGGGCGTGTGTGGGGTAATAACAAACAACCATGACCTAAAATAGCAAAGTAATCAGCACGCGTTTAATTTGAAATACAAGCTCATGTTCTGCTTTCATACAGAGAAAAAAAACCAAAACAAACACCAACAACAAACCACTTTGGTTAACTCACAGAAACAAGTGCTGGAAACGCCAAGATTTCAGCTTTAACCTTCCATAATGTATTAAAGTAAGAGAAGAGACAGGAAAGCTGTGCAAGCTGATACCTTACGGTAGTCCTCAGTCAGTTTGTGCACAAGTGACATCAAGACACCGAGACATTTACCCATGTGTTAGTTTCAACAAATTCTTTCAACAACAAAAATCCTGCCCATATCAGGTGATTTATAACAGAGGACTCGCTTTTTTGGGAAAAGTTTTAATACAGTGAACTAAGCACACTACTGAAGCTGTGACTATCCCAACTAGAGTACGCACTATGCTGTTGGTCAGTTTTCACTTGAACACAATTGTACTATTGAATCCCAGAGTTAAAAAAACAAAGACAAGTGCATAATAAAATATGCTTAATATTAGCCACAATCTATATACATACACAAAAGAAAGAATTTAAAGTTACCAATGTTTTAGCAAAGATAAAATACACAAGCACCCAAAAGTGAAAAATAAAAAGTGGTTTTCAATGCATGTCTTGTGCTTCCAACATTACAGGTGGCACAGTTCATGGAAAACTGGTGTTCTAAGATTAACTGTACTGTTCATATAAAAACAAAAACTTAAATCTGCAAGTATTTGAAGATATTCCTAAAACACGTTATATGTACACATGCACTACAAGCTACTCCCTGTATTTTCCCAACTAGAGGATTACTACTATCTACCACTAGGTACTGACAATAACTCTAGTTACCCTCTTTTACATGAAAAACAAACAAACAAGCAAACAACCACACAAACAAAACCCAAACACATGATTTTAATCTTATACAAAGAGAGGCGGTCAATGCCCCATCCCTGAAAACATTCCAGGTCAGGCTGGATGGGGCTCTGAGCAACCTGCTCTAGTTGTAGATGTCCCTGCAGTTGGACTAGATGACCTTGAAAGGTCACTCCCATCCAAACCATCCTAAGATTCTATGATATTTAAGGGGAAAAAAAAATTAAAAAATCTAGCTGGAAATAAAAATTTTATTGGAAAAGCAAGGTGATGTTCAAAGCTGGCTCCATTTCTTTATAAACTATATCAGTAACAAAAAGATAAATACAAGAAAACTACTCAGAAAATTAAAACATAGAATAGTAGAAGGTTTTGGGGTTTGTCTGGTTTTGTTTTTAAATTAAGGATAGCACATAGGCTGTGGCCTGAAATGGGGAAAATATGTAAACATGAGAGGGCTCCAAGGGCCCTGCCAGCACCTGCCCATCAGCAGTTTCAGACAACTGCTCCCTGCTGCCTCACCCAGTCTCCAGCCACCATCAGGGGCAACAGCAGGACTCCTGCCTGCCTGCCAGTCCACACACTCTAAGGTAGCACTCCATCCACCACGGAAGGGGCAGGTATGTCCTATACAGTCACTATGCACTTTGGAGATCGTTTGAGAACAATCACTGCTGGAGCAACCTCCCCAGAGAGATGGCAGAGATCCCATGCTGGGGGCTTTCAAAATGTGACTGGACAGAGTGCTGGATAGGTCTCATCTAGGTTCCCTTTCCCAGGAAAGGCTGGACCAGATGATCTTTTGAGGTCCCTGGGCTGTTCTATGATTCTGTGACTAATGTGCTGCTACCCTGCTAGGGAACTGGGAGTCTTTAGTTAGAGCAGAGTGGCAGTTGGGAAGATGGTTATCATCTCTTTCAGAGGCAGCAAAATCTTACATTACTGCAGCAAGATTCAGAAGATGCCTGTCAGAAACCCAAACCTTTAATTTTCACTGTCTTCTTGAATTCCTGTCATCCTAGATTGCTGCCTGTCCTTCCATCATGTTCACCCAAGGCTGGCTGTATAAGTAATATGAGCACAGAAACCAAGTGACATGTGCTGTATCTGTCAGAGGAGGATACAAGAAATATTCATTTTCTTCACAATTCAGAGTAATTTTGAAAATACAGTTCAAGAGCTGCAGAGGTTTCATTAGAGTAGCATGACTTTTTTTCAGTTTTAGCTAAATTTAAAACCATTGCAGCAGAGCTGCACCTGATACCAAGTTAATGGAGAAAGTTGTTTAGGTCCTTCCTTTAGAAAAAGCACAAAGACTGAGAAATATGTACAGTGGATTTTCTCCTTTCACTACCTGCAATCAGAAGACAAGCTAATTACCAATTCAGGAGATTTCAAATCTCTTGATAATCTTTAAGCAATCACTTTGACCCCCAGGACTGTGAAGGAACAAATCTGGAAACCACTTCCTACAGGCCCGTGAGGGACAAGAAGGGGACCAGGAAAAGCAAGGATGTATTCACCAAGTGGAGGTCCTGCCTGACCACCCCGACAGCCTTCTGCAGTTACATGACTGGCTTCAGAGGAGGGGAGAGCCATGGATGTTGCCTTTTCCTGCTGTCTCATACACAAACCTCGCAGAGAGGCTGATGAAGCATGGATTGAGTGAACAGAGAGTGGGACAGACTGAAAACAGGCTAGATAGCCAAGCCCAGAAGGTCATGATCAGGGCCAAGAAATCTAGCTGGGGGCCAGTATTCAGTGGTGTACCCCATGGGTCAATGGGACATCTCAGGGTGTGTACATACTAATGGAAAAAAGCACCTTCAAGCACAGATCTTGAAAAAACAAAAATCTATCATACAATTAAAATTAACAAATATGAAGAGTTTGAAGAATAAAAAGTATCTTAATTACCCAAGGCTAAGGCTCAGATATCTGGCAAGGCCTCAGGAGAATCCCACACTAAATAACCTACTCACAAATTAAGAGTAAGAACAACGCTCAGATTTAACTTTGCCGTATCACGGAAAAATCCCAAACAAGTCAGTGAATGTAACAAAGGACTGAATCCATCATTTTTTCTTCAATTTGCTCATTTAAGATGCTCCATTTTTAGGATGGTCCAAGCACCTTTCCGAAGAGCTGGAGAAAACTTATGATCACAGAAGTAGGTATTTTCACTCAATCCCAATTCTTTACACATAAGCGAGTACTGCCCCTCTAAGGCAGAACTATTGTTTCCCTAGGATCCTAAGAAGTGACTTTTAAAATCTTTTTATTTCCTTAATGAACTTCATCCACAGCAATAAACGTAATATCACAAACATGACACAAAAAGCAAGAGAAAGAATTCAACATATTGGCACCAATTCTGTCCAAATATGCTGTTGGGTAAACACAGCTGTATTAGAATCTTTAAAGCGTATACTTGGTAAAGATTTAGATTTTGATTTAATTACAGTTAAAAAATGGCTAACAAGTTGATACTCATATTCATATCAACTTGTGCCTCAAGACCACTGATGTAGTTGTTTCCAGGTGACCAGTTTCTTTCAGAGTGCATTCTTCCTACATTTAAAGACAGAAATTGTCTGCAGTGATAACCAGAGGAGCAGTGAGCTGCAGAGAATTGCTACATTTTGCAAAAGAGGGGTTGAGAAATCACTAATCCTCGATTCTAGAAGTGAGATGCAGTGATTGACAGAGTTTTGATGAAAACTTTGAGCATGAATGACAAGCCTAAAGAAAGAGCATGGTATTAGAGAAAAAGCAATCTGTTTCAAGACAGTTATCTGATCTGGCTGTTTTTTTCTGGCTGTTCTGCTCCAGTGCCAGGGCAAGATTCTTTCTTATCTCCAAAAATGCTGCTCTTTCTTGTGAGCTTTTGGTGCACCCCATGACACGGTGGGTTCACAACCATACAGCTGCTCTCCCGACTCATTCCAGGCAACAGGCAAGGCACCTGAGAACAACCTGGGACAGAGCATCGCTTCAGCACACTTCAGCACCCGAGAAGTTTTTCCACCTCTTCAGATGGAGCCTCCTGGATTCCAGTTAGTGCCCGTTGCCCCTT